TTCGGAGTAAATGGTTATGTCGAACATAAATATTGTAAGAGCATGGTAGATTTTACATTCTATAATTACATTTCTGGAGAAATTGGTATATATTGAAATGTTACGTATAATTTGGAATTCTATATAAGAAGGTTGAAAAACAATTCATTTTATAAATAAGAAAATATGACCCATTGTCTCAGAGTAAATTTAATTAATTAAAATATAATTAATTGGGTCCAAAATTCCATCCAATCTTGCAGAAAAAATACAATTGGACTGCATTAACTAATGTGATATATCGATGTGTAATAGAAATATTTTTTTATCATTCATAAAGTTACTCTGCGGCAGGGGCCCCTATAATCACTATCACTATGCATTATTGTACACGAGAAACATAGACGGGTACGGGAGTCTTTGATTCTGCAGGAAAACATAATTAGTTTAGAATAATTTGTTTTCAGTCTTATGTTACACTTGATAAATCAATTTATTTTATAGTTATTGTTGATTTTCCTGATATATGATAATAAACAAAGGGTTTTCTAAAACTTCCTCTACTCAGAGGTAAGATTGTGTGATAAAATATTTATTATAGAAAGGATGACAGTCGCTAACACATGAAGGCATTCCCGTACACAGTTGATTTTATTTTTTGTATAAAATCATGCCTTTTGTCTTGGCCTGTCGTCTTCGTACAAGGGTATTTTTATATTGTGAATATTACTTAGGTTTAATATTCTGTTATAAAGTTATAAATAAACTAATTATGTTTTTCGAAAACCTTGCAAAGTGATTTTAGATCAGGTCACTCACAGAATTGATTTTTGGGAATGTGTGCTTTATTAGTTGTATGGTAGAGCTGTGTGTTTCTATAATTGTAGGAATAAGCTCAACGGTAGGTTTCCTTCAGTCATTATTCCCTACTATAGTGTTGTTTATCACAATTTCAAATATTACCTGAACCGGATAGGAAACTTGTAAAATACAGAAACCTAGTCTTGTTTCTACAATGATCGTTTTGTGAGTGGCCGTTAAGTCTGTGTTATTTAGTTGTTCAGATGTTAGTTAAGGCCTTTTGTGTTGCTGTGCATTTCTACGCATTGTATGTATGTATGTTTATATATTGTAAATAGCTAAAATACATATATTTTTACGATTAGCATACACAACCAAAGTTGTTATGAAGTGATGGTTGATTAAATAAGAAATTTAACTATAGGTCGTTATGTTTATTTTAGAAGAGATACAAAGAAACCTGTACAGTTGCAATGTCAGTACATCCAATGTCTTGTCGTAGCATTTTAACCAACCGCCCTGGTATTAGGAATAATTAAATTGTTATTTTTGGCACAAAGATATTGACAAAAGTTGAACTATTGTAACGAGAAAACATACAAATGAAAAGGAGTCATAAAAGGTCGCTCCTTTTGTTCCTAGTAGCTTGCTCCGGGTCATTTACCATTTAGTAACTGTCAATTAATAAAACATACACGTCATGTACTAATACCTTCAAAATGTTTGAACTGTAATATTTTATTCATTGATGAAATCAGGCGTTATGAGTACATAACATTTAAGTTGTATTTTTTTGTACATTTTAGATTCGAAAATATATTAATATCTAAATAAGTGGTGTTTTTATTTATGCAACCCATTTGTAAGTACTGTAATTACTGCCGACTTTTTCCGCGTTAGGATTGGAGAATAAATGTACATTACTGTTTTTACTTAATAAGAAATCAAGGCAGGCAAGGCAAGGCAGGATTGCCTGCAGACGATAGGATTGACGACAGAAAAATTATCCCATTGTCCAATATTATTTTACTATCTAACTGAAGACGGACTAAGAAGGCTTTTACCACCAGAGAGATTACTTTCAGGAAATGAGAAAGTCACTGCTTCCTATAGAATCGTGAGCTATTCGAAATAAATCTTTCATATAAAAAACTTAATTCGGTAAGTTATCTCTTTGTTTCCTTGGGCCTTATATAATATTTCAATCAAATGTGGCAGCGGATACTTGAGACCAAAATAAAATCCTCCGCAAGGTCTCATAATCCTCTCCAATGTAAGTTGTGTAATTTGACTTTCGATTTATTTTTGTGACATGATTGCGACTTCGTTGACCGTTGGTCAACTATTGCATTACTATCAAATAACATAAGGTCGTGAGTTCCTTGGCTCGTCCAAAAGTAATTGAACTTTCGATTTCTTCAGTTTAGACCACAGAGGTTCGAAATTGGATTTAGAAAGAGAGAACGAGAAAGCCCTCTATCAGAATCATTAAGAAATACTTAAAAAAATACGTTAATTATTGATAGTTATGTTACGTACGTATATGTCGTGGTGGCCCGTAGTTTTAAGACGCCCGCTTCTCATGAATGAGGGTGCGGGTTCAAAACCTAAAAACGACAAGTACCAATGTGACTTTCCGAGTTATAATTATGTACTTTCTAAGATTATCTAGACACCACAGACAAACGGTGAAGAAAAACATCGTGAGGAAACCTGGACTTATAATTTCTAATTATACATTTGTAATCGCCAACCCGCATTGAGCAAGCGCGGTGAATAATGCTCAAACCTTCTCCGTGTGAGAAGAGGCTTTGCTCAGCGGTGGGCATTCATAGGCTATTGATGATGATACGTACTTACCTATATCCCTGGCCACCTGCTTGGTGATTACAGACTTGGTAAATAATTTGAAATTAGATTAATTAAATAAGATGTATGATAAATTAAAAAAGTGTGGGAGAGCCATGCTTCGGCACGAATGGGTCGGCTCGACCGGAGTTATAAACGCTCTCACAGAAAATCGACGTGAAATAACGCTTGCGTAGTGTTTCGTCGTGTGAGTGAGGTTACCGGAAGCCCAATTACCAGCAGTAAAATGCACCGAGAGATTGTGGGAACAGTAAGTACAGTGTTCTTGTGGGTAAGGAACCGGATAGAAAGACCTCAGATTTTTCTTCTAATGGTACTTACATTTATTCATACTAACTTTTCTTACTTCACCATAACTCAAACCTTTTCTACGTAAACATTAGCAACACGTCCCTGTAAACATAATTTTAAACCTACTAGCTCATGGTTACGTTTACTCATTGAAATTCATAACAGGGAGGAAATTCACACATAGGTAATTGTAGGCAATTAACAACTGCCGAACTCGTTGAACAGTGCTCTGCTAGGGAACACAGATAGGTCATTATAATCGAGAGATTCACGACGAACGCAATAGTCTAGCGAGTTATCCGATTTTCCTTCGCTACCTAACGAATATACCTCTAATATGATAGATCAATTATCAGCTACAACTACGTGGTTAATTATCGTGTTAATAACAGTCAGTTTAGTATTCGTTTTTAATAGCCTCAGTGATCTAGAGACAATGAATTGGGTGAGATGGTTTCGAAATAAGGAGCAGTCCCTGTTGGCTTTACCTGGGGTAAGTCTTGTTTTTATTTATTTTTTACGTAGATTTATATCGATACAACATGTTAGGGATAACAATTATCTGCTTAAATTATTTTAAATCCTTTCTGTTATAAACTGTGAGTCCGTTTGCGTAGGTAAATCGAGTATCAGTGGTAATTTCACAAATTCGTAAAGTTGCTTAACCCTGCAATCAAGCTCTGGAAAACTATGATATGGTTGCAATTTTATTAGAACGTTATTAATACTTAATTCATCACTATCACCTATCACACCTATGTAGGTAGGCGTCTAACTGCCGAACTCAAAGACATTTAATTATTACTTAAATTATTCCATAATAACGATTTTGTTCCGTAAACAGTTGCTAAGGATTGCGTTAAGTAACCATTAAATTAGTACAGAAGACAGATTACCTTTATTTGTTAAAACTATCACAGAGCTACGTACTTACAATGTCGGCACACAGCTCTTAGATAGTTTATTATTTATTCGCATTACTTATTATTGAGAATAACTTTAATTAGACGAAGTAGTAGATAAATAAGATCAATCAGGTCAAATTGGTCAAAACAACTTGTAATTACAACTATTACAAGTACTGAAGAGCTAGGGCAGCGGGCTGAAAGAAATTAAATAGGAACATTATAACTTGTTAGTTGAGGTAGTACCTAGTATAATGGAGGTCCTACCTCCTTACCTTCCTACGATTAAAGATGTCTATGTATAGCAATGCTCGCCTCAAAGGCTTACGTAAATACAAATTTAGTCTAATTAACGCATTCACCGTCGATAAAGTAAATTAATTGATGAGGTCACTCGAAATAGCACAAAATGTAAATTGCTCTGAATTTGTCGGAGGAAGAGGATCGTATGAGGCTCGGATACTATTACAGTTGTTAGTAACAGTTGCGTTACTATCTGCATAAAAAAAACGCAAGAATTGCTCAGTGCCTACTACCGAGGTTCTTTACAGCAGCTCTACAATGGCTGTAAAAATAAAGCCCACAGCAGCTACGATAATAAAGTTCATATTGTTTTGAGAACAAACCCTTTGCATGTGAAGTTATTTATATTACAAGTATGCCAACATTGTCAACACATTTTATTTATGCGTAGGCACTTCAATCGAAGTCCAAAATATCTGTGGAACGCATGAAATTCTTCGCGGCATTTAGGTACCGCACCGTACCGGCTCGCCCTTTCGTATTTCATTCCCGCAGTCCCGGCGGGGGGCGTGCGCCCGAATGTCGGGAGTGTTTGGGATTTTGTGTTAGTATCCTGGAGAGGCGAGCTGACTGAGCCCTGCCGTAGTCAGGAGGCGCGCGCCCGGCCGTCCGCACGCATGCGTACCCTCCCGTATCCTGTTGCACGCACGTTCACCGTCATCTTCACTACCGCGAATATGTTTACGCTATGTTAGATAACAAAAGCTTTTCCTCAGTCATTGTTTATAACTTCATAAAATAATAGAAAACATGAATGGACCATTTAGTCTTTCCTTTATTTGTTAATTGTGATGAATTAATACGTATTTAACATTATGTGGTAGTGCAAAAACGATTTGCAAGATCAGAAACATGCCCTGGAGTTGTCCGTGGTCGCGCGACCGCCAGCAACCACTAGCGGTCAGTCCGCCACAGCATCTGCTGTTGCAGGTTTGTTTGTGTTCAACTTTAAAAAAAATTCATTTAAATTACAATAGTGTTTGCACTGTTTGCACTATAAAACCAATAAAACCTTGTGCTGCATGTTAAAATAATATTAGAAACTACTTAATAATTAGCGGAGGTATGTACATACCAGCGTATTAACTGTAAATTAAAATTATGAGTTAGAAGAGCCACTTAGGTCATGGTGTCACACGCTCTATATTTTTATTAGAAGAATTTAAAGATTGTGTAGTCAATGAACTCGTAACGAAATTTATAAGTGACAGTTTGGTGCCTGTTTAACCGATTGGAAAGTTATAGTAGGACAATCCCAGTAAGATAATGGCGGTAGCCAGGGAGACGTTATCCCGGGAATGTTTTAATGGATTTAAAGTGGTGTATGCGTGTTATAATCATATCCATAAAATGTTCAGACGGAGTCCGAACATAATCGGACTACTTAACTTTTTCTGTAATGATATAAGAGCGTTTATGACCTTTTTAATCATCGATTTTATTTTATTTTTGTCTAATGGTAATTAACTACAAATCTTTAAAAGGTTCTCTCTCTGAGAACTATTGAAAAACCTACCTTTGTCAGCGTAAATTCTACACAAAGACGGTTTACGAATTCTAATAAAGGTACGTGAATACAATAATAGAACTTCGAGCGTTACTTTAGTGTCACATAAGAAAGAAGACGGAATGACGGAAGTGCGAAAATGGTGGACTTTACCAAATAAATGATAATGGTCAACCGATGGTTACCTGGCTTACCTGTGTATTGTGACGTGATTAAAATAATAGATCGTAGTCGTGACAATACATATATTATTTTCATGCAAGGTTTTTTGAAGCCTCTTGTTTATGTAAGACACAAAGTTATATTGTACAATGACTCCTATAGTGCATTGCGAGTTCACAAAAAATGTGAGAACTATCCAGTATCCATGATAGCTTGTGAACTAGTGTAGTGATGAGTTTCTGGGATGCAATCAGCTGGGTCCGCGCCTCAGTCACAAGTTGCTTGTGCCCGCGGCTGCTCGCATGTGCAGCCACCGGATTATCTCGCATCTACGACAATTTATTTATCACTATTTCTTACCTCAATTAAAATCATGCTTAGTTTAAAAATACAATAAAATGAATTAACGCAACATTAATTTTAAAGGTGCAATGTGAATTTGTGATGTTTAATTATGATTTAAAATTATGTTTATAGTAAATTAGTTTAATACAATGACTATATAAAATGCCTTGGAATTGTTTGTGGGGATACCAGGCGCCTGCTCCAACTTGCAGAGTTAGTGGACCGCTGCACTTATTACTGCAGGTATTGATACGACCTTCAACATTATTATTTAGTAGAAAAAAACCGGCTTTTTATTTTCTTTCTTCACTATTGTTATGCATGCATTCGTTGCACGTAATAGCATTAAATTATATAATTATAAGCAAGTTTTATGGAAAGAATACTTACTTATTTAGTATCTTCTAGTGACTACAATGTAATGTATGCAAGTAATTAATCATAGAGGTAAATAGATTCTATCTTTTTAATTTACATAGACGTAAGCATGATTCAACAAAAATAATAAGTAGGTAACGATTCACAAAATAACTACAGGGTTCAAAAAAGGTAAAATGTTTTTATTTATATTTTGTGTATGAATTAGTTGCCAGTAACATACATAGTGGGTACCTTACATTCCATTTCACGTTTCACCTTTCTGAATAGTTAAATAGGTTTTATATCTTTTCCTTGTACCTTGTAAGTAGTTAACATTTTATTAATATTAATTAACCTAGGTAGCCCTTAGCCTCGTAACAGTTAAGGTTAATGCCGGCGAATTATAAAATCATTTTAATCATAATTATCCTCGAAGACTTTCTTTTAATGTGTTTAAGTAGTTAATTTATTCGAAATTGTATGTCTTTTCTTTACACTTAAACTTAATTAAATAATTTTTCTCTACTTTCATGACTTTATTAATTGATATTATCATTCATTTTTCGGTACGACGAGCAAGTGCCTATTGGATAATTTTAAAATTAGTTTTTCTTATCGTAGTTAATAAGTAATTACCGTGTGTAATTTACGATTACTGGACTTTCGAAATACAACGTATTGAGAATTTGTGTCCAAACATTATTTTTAATAGAGACATTAATGGGGATGATGACAGGGTATGAAAATTAAAAATAATTAGTCCGTAAGTTAGGTAATGAAAAAATATTAGACACGTATTTTTTTATTTTGTCGTATAATAAAACAATACTTAGATAAAACGAATCAAAGTTTAGGAGTGGGGGCTAAAACGTCATTTCTTAGTATAAAATGTACTGAGAAGTGACGTCACGCGACATTTCAAATCAATATATCTTCGAAACTATTCGTTTCTGTGAGAAAATAAAAAATACGTGTCTAATGTTTTTAAATAATCTATCAGACGGACATTAAAATAAAAATTAGTCGTCTACCCTATTAAACGTAGATAGGTAATACAAGTAAATAGTCGGTAAGTAATACTGACTGACGTATTTCTTTAGTTACATTTTAAGGTTACTGAATATTTAGTTAGAATTAAACATAACATAATATAACATCACGCCATTTATCACCGAAGGGGTAGACAGAGGTGCACATTATGCCACTGTACAATGTAACACCCACTTTTCACTATTCATGTTATGAGTCCCATGTAATAGGGGGTGAGCCTATTGCCATATATCGGGATCACAATTCCAGATTCCGTGCTACAACTGAGAATTAAAAAAAATCTAGTAGTACTTTGACCGACTCGGGAATCGAACCCGAGACCCTTTGCTCGGCAGTCGCATTTGCGAACACTCAGCCAACGAGGCAATCCACTGAATATTTAGTTAGTATTAGGTATAAGAAAATCCTTTGTTAGAAAATCGAAATACAAAGACAGTGTCCAATGAGGTTTTATTACTTCTACTTTCTGAATACAATGGGTATCGTTTGTTTTGTTGACCCACTAACTAAAGTAACTTTCGTTCTATGTAATTGGAACCCCGTGTAACAAATACATATAATGTAACATATTAACTTAGGTATACAGACTGTAAACCGAACGCTACCGAAAATCACCGACTGGTGATGGTCAAAAATATGTTTTATTTTCATATAAGTAAGGTATTAAATGTTTCTTTTATGTAATAATGTTTGTAATCAAACTGCCAAGGCTGATGTTGCATTAATAACACGTAAAAGTACGATTAAACTGTCAAACACCGAGCGGTCACCGGTGACCGCGACCTATTGTTCTTTAATTGTGTCTATAAAACCGGTACGCGACGAGTTAAAATTGTAAAAACTAAAACTATTTTTACCTATAAGCGTTTTTCGGGGGGAGGGGGGGGGGGGCGTTCCGTTAACACCCTTCTGTACTTTACATTGTTAATCTTAGTCAAATCTCATTTCGATTCAGCTCTAGACATATTAATGTCCGATATCTTCTTGTTTTAATGAGAGACACACACTCCACAACCTCCCAAAACCGCTGCAACTCCTGTAAGCCAGGATCTACAGTAGATACAACCATGAAACATCGAAGTCCGGCGCGTCCAGAGACATGAATAACTGTATTGGTTCCCGCAACGAAGTGAATCAGAAGATATTATAAGACCCGATAAGACTTAAAATCTAATAATTAATCAATTGGTCTTAGCTCTCTGATAGATATTTCTAGTAAAATTAATCCAACAGCATATAAAGCAGGCCATATTTATTAATGATAAACCTGTTATTAATCACATCCATCAAACGCGAACTCATTTCCAATAAAAGTAAATTACTTAAAATGTTTGTTATTAATTCACGCGACATTCGCTAGTGCAATTTATTATCCGTCATGATTTACATACAGCGCAGATTACAAGGAACCGATACACAAACTGTAATAACTTTATTGTTGTGACATCGTTTCATTAGGTTACCTTGGCAGGTAGTAAAGTTAACGGTAGAATGCTAATGTGTAGAGGCGAGTTCGTAGCATTGTCGCATGAACTCATGTACGTAGGGCCTAGCTTCCCAAAGGTTGTGCAACTGTGGGACGCGGGTATACACCGCCCACGGGCCGGCGCCGGCGACAGCGCCGTCACTGTACCCGGCCGCCTCTCTAAGCAAATATCTCCAGACAAGTTCATTGTCGACCAATTCGAATAAATTATGCTCAAAATATCTTACTTCACTGAGCAAAGACACTCGAGAAAGTTAACCAATGTATGATAATAATGTTACTTACTTATTGTAAGCACTGCTGTAACCGATTTAAATGAAAATATTTGTACAATAACAATGTGACTGTCAGATAAATGGCTTTAAATATCTTACAAGAACTTGATAAAGTTTTCAATACAAACAATATGGTATTTTATGTAAATATATTTAAAATAACAGCTGCAGGGCGAGTTACGGTCACGGGTTACCGTTCACATGACTAGGTCTAAAACGAACCGCGTGTGTAGATTAAATGAAATCGTTCTATCTAACGTTTATAAGTTAATTAGGAGCATGTGGGGCTGCGCACACGCATCCTGATGGACAATGATGCCTTTCAGCGGGCGGTACCTTTGAGCTCAGTACGTTATTAGGCCGATTATGTACTTATCACGTCCTATTGTGAGCGTGTATCAAATAAGTTACTCTTGCTACAAAACATGAGGAAAACTATATTAGATGTACTTCTTCCTAACGTTGGTGGCATTGCGTAGATCCAAAATAGTCAAATAATACTATATTTAATTTATATAAAGTAAGATAATTTGTTAATGATACGAAATGTTAAAGTATCTACAAAATGTGTAGTTGTATCTACGAAAACATCTGCAACAATACTTGGTCATAAAGCTTTCAATTAGAGCCGTACGTAGCGCTTTACTACGCCAAATTTTATAGCGTAGCACTTGTAGCGGGTCTACGATCTCATTTCATGTAGACATTTTAATATTTTATCTTTTATGTTGCATTTTATATTTCACTAGCAATCCGCCCCGGCTTCGTACGGGTTTAATATTCACATAAACCTTCCAGAATCACTCTATTTATTAAAAAAACCGCATGAAAATCCGTTGCGTAGTTTTAAAGATCTAAGCATACATAGGGACAGATAGACAGCAGATAGCGATTTTGTTTTATAATTTGTAGTGACTTGGATTGTAGGCAAGGTTACAGAGGTATCTGACATCATGATTAGATCACCAAAAACTTAGCAAAGGCTATGGAGCTAACAATTTACATTCAATGTTGACTTTCTCAAATTAATTAATGTTTTGAGTTCGGTTGAATTGGTACCAAAGCAGTAGGTACTTACCGACATACTTATTTAAAGTTCTGCTCTCATTCTTAAGCAAAAATAGCCCCCCTCTGCTGGAACGAAATCGCTGTGCTTTTAGTAAAAAAGCAAAGAGAGCAATAAGTGTTTGTTGGTGTCGTATTGTATTGTCGTTCGTTCGTCGTGTTCGGTCATTGATCGGCCACTCGTTCACGCTTCCATAATCTTGTCACGCTTTATTTTGCGATACTTTTTGTCTATTATGTAATCTTTTTAGACCTCAATCGACATTGCAGTTAGTTAGTAATCGTTTGATTGACATGATCGCAATTGATTTAGAAAGGATTAAAAATGTTCAATCAAGCATTGTTTATGTGCCAAATTTATGTTGAACATCAGTTTCTTTTTAATTGAATCATTACTTAATGATAGAAACATAAAATAAAAGATGAGGAAAACTATTAATTACATATGTATGCGTCTTAGGGTGAAACAATAATTATTTATTTAAATGGTAGCCCGTACCTATCAGCTTATAAATTAACGTTGCTGACAGGCGGCAAGCGATGTCTGAAGGCTCGGGTCCGCCGCTGAGGGTTATAAGTGCCTATATACTATGATTTACGACACATTCTTGCGTAGAGCTCGACGAGGATCTGTCACTGTGTCTGCGCAGAGCGATGGGAACAAGATTACTTCTCACAGATTCGTCTGGTGACAGACAAAGCTCTTTGTAGCATCATTGTTCGGTCGAAGCACTTCGGAGACGTCTGGCTTCGCGCATCGCGGGCACGTATACCGCCGATTAGTCATCGGCTGTATCGTTCCAAACTAATTTATTTATATCTAAGTAAACAGCTCGCATTCGTAAGTAAAGACACCGGTGTTTTACTCTTTTCACACCAAGTGAGGCACCAAGTAGGTATATTCATTTCACATCTGTGCAAACTTATTCGAGGCTAAGTAAGTGTTACTGTGTCGTAAGTACGCATTGTCTAGTTATGATACTTATTCAGCTTACGTTATTTTACGTGCATGCTCTTATATAGAACTTCCCGGATCTCGGCGGCAGTATAAACACACAATAGTAAGCTTATTTAGGCGAGGGTACTCCGTTTTGGTGCGTCTGTCTGAAATATTTCATGAAAGTTATTCCTGGTTATGAATTGTTAAAACGAGAGCTCGAATTATACGCAACATGGTGCGAGCTTAAAAATGTTTTCATGTTTATATTCGTAATTCCAAGCGGATGTTACGCAAGTGTGTTGGTACTGCCCAACTAAAGCGCTTGACCGGAAGTGCGCCGAGGCGGGGCGCGGGACGCGGGCTCTCGTTCACAGGTACTAAATGATGCCTCTAATGAACGGCACAGGAGCGGCACTCCGCACTCCGCACTGAACCTTATTATTGGTAATGCGCAATACATTAGCTACAATTAGTGCGGCAGTCCGTTAGTAATTGCAGCGCACTTTGAGCGTATTTCGTAAAACACGATGTAAGTAGGTGGAGCTACTGAGTATATCCATATTTGGAAATAGTTACTATGATGGAGGTATTTCTACTATTTTAAGTGCGAGCTGCGATTTATTATATCCTCATTAATAATAAATTCTCTTTAAATGTCTATGGTCTATACGCTCTGCGAACGCGACACTCGAGAACGGTTGGAATTTCTGCGGCATATCGTAAAACACATTGGACACTTTAGGAAATTATTTTGTACGCTATGAATGTAGCAGTCGGAAAGATAATATAGGTAATATATTTTGAAAGGATTACAATAGCATGCGTAATTTAAAGCGGGTGTTAAGTTTCGCAGTTGTATTAAGTGTCGTCGCTGAAATTCAAATACTCGTTCAGAACAAGGTCTCTGCAAAAAACATCACGGTCCGCGGAGCATGCTCGCCAGCTGTCAAGCAGACGCGAGACGTGTCGCTCCGGCCGCTCGCTCCGCACTCGGGGGAAACCATTTAGTGTTTACAGTACCACAATCGAGGTCTCACACATCGGCACATGTACCCATCGACATATGCTCTTAACGAACCCGATACTAAAATCAATTGTAAATTCTTGCCCATGAATCAAAAACCATATGAAAGAGCTCATAAAATAAATTTTATTCCCTTATTGGTGCATAAACAGAGTTTAAAAATAGTGGGGACCACCTGGTGCACTCTGCTCCCAACTTCGAGTGCAGGGAACGTGATTTATGGGTCTTTAAGCCACACAATGCAACCGCAAATACAACCCTTGACTATTTTTCTAGAGAACAAATTGTCCCTGGGCAGATATTTCAAGTGGGTCGACTGTTACAAAGACTTGTTATACGCTTATCGGTGTTACCCCTATGACAATACTGAAAGCCAATATATAAATTAATTCGTTTAGACAGCTTACTCGACTTTATTTGATATTGTAGTTACACCTATAAATGCTTTGATAGTTCTAATAGATATTCGGTATTGTATTGTAATTTCCATTTAAACACGAATGCGATCTATATTCAGATAAGTACTTCGAGGTTAATGTGTAATTGTTCATTTGTAAGTTATTCACGGCTGAACGGTGTCCAGTTATCCCGAATGACCGCATCGGTGCATTTGGTACTGAGAAGTAAAGATGTTATGGACGTTGGTATCGCTCCGTATACGGTATTTACAAACGTGGGAGGTCCGATCATTTTCAAGGAATTGTAATATACCAAAAAAGTGATACTAAAATCAAGAAGAAAGTTATTTTATTTATATTCATAGGACATAAAACAATCCATACAATAAATTATAACAATTCTATAAATTACCTCTGAAGCTCTCTCCTTTCTCAAAAATAAAAAATACAACTAAATTGTTTCCCAAAAGCTTAATCGGAGTACCTCAAATTATTTCACGTTTCTATCGCTTTATTCCCAAATCCAAAAAATGTTAAGCTCACTTAAATGATCGAAGGCAATTGTATAAAGAAAACGAAGCTTAGATCCGGTCCGGCCACACGGATTCATTGTCAAGAATGGTATAAAAGAGAATAAGACGTAAAAAACATTTTATCTAGAATAGTTTCTGTAGATACTATTTTAATGGGAAGTAAATTTGTATATGTGACAGTTTTTTTATCTTAAAATTGATTATCCAAGTAGAATAATGATTTAACCGCACGATTGAGTTACTTGTATCATATCAGCGTTGTAATAGTTGTTTAGTTCTGGTCGTGTAGAGTGTACACGTCATCCCCTCGTCACGTCACTCCTTTCTCTCTGGTCGTGCTGACACCTCCAGCAATTAACATGTCACTGCGCAACATTATCTTCAGAACTGTTAAGCGTTGAAGTAAATATTTTATTACAAGCAGACCACAATGTACTCACAAGGCAATCTTTAATGATGATAGGTGTAGTTTTGGAGCGCCGTTTTACAATGAACAAATAAGGCAGCTCATGTTGTTTACCTCTTAAAATGGCCAGATTCTGAGACAATAAGATGTTCGGAGGTACTTCGTTCTGAAAACTAATTGGGTTGTGTTGCGTCATCCTCGCAAGGTTTTCGCCTAATGTTGTTAGCAGTGTGTTAGCTTAGGTTAATAACACGCGTATTATCTACCACTGCTTTTGTGTTTGCAAGAACACTTTGATACTAAGACATATGAGGCTGTAAAGTTACTCGAAATGCAAGTTTCCTGTAATCATGACGTTGCGCAAGTTCGGTGGAGTGTGGACCGTATTCTGTACCTATATGACGTCATATCGTAGTTTCAACACTGCACAAACAAAGCCACAAGCTTCTGGCACACATTGTGTGCTCATTTCCAGGACAAACAATGAATTATTTGGAAAATAAATTTACATATAACATTTTATTAACTGAGCGGGCGGTCTTCAATACAGATTTTGTTTGACAGC